TTATATATCATTCAGCATTAATGGTGCCATCACAGATGTGCACATCACCCATGTCATGTGCATTAATGCCCCCTTATACCATCATGAATACTGGCCTTTGAACTGTGCACTGATAACAAGCTGAGTGGTCTTTAGCTCGGTGGACACAGTGTCCATAATTTCCAAAAAGAATTTCAAATATTGATTAGTTGGACCACAGGACACTTTTCCACTTCACCTCAGTCTATTTTAAATGAGCTCAGGCCCAGAGAAGGTGGCAGCATTTCTGGATCTTGTTTTTATGTGGTGTCTTCTTTGCTTTATAGAGTTTTAACTTGCATTTGTGGATGCAGTGACAAACTGTTTTCACAGACAGTAGTTTTTAGAAGTGTTCCTGAGCCCATGCAGTGATTTCCACTAGAGAATCATGTCTGTTTTTAATGCAGTGCTGCCTGAGGGCCCAAAGATCACAGCCAGCAAATACTGTTTTTTGGTCTTGTCTCTTACGTACAGAGATTTCTTTTCTATCTTTTAATGTTATTATGTACCGTAGATGATGAAAAGCAAAAAGTTATTTGCTATTTTATGTTGAGAAATGTGATTTTTTGCACTATTTTATCGTGCAGTCTTTCACAAAGTGGTGAGCCCCTCATCATCTTTACTTCTGAAAGACTCAACCTCTCTGGGATGCTTTTTTATGCCTAATCATGTTACTGACCTGTTGCCAACCAACCACCAGGTGTCTTTTTAGTATTACACAACTTTACCAGCCTTTTGTTGCCCCTGTCCCAACTTTTTGGGAACGTGTTGCTGGCATCAAATTCAAAATAAAATTTCTCAGTTTCAACATTAGATTTGTTGTCTTTGTATTATTTTCAATGAAATATAGGGTTTAAATGATTTGCACATCATTGCATTTTGTTTTTAATTACATTTTTCACAGCATCCCAACTTTTTTTAAAAATGGGGTTGTACATACAACATTATACAAGTTTCCACACTCAGATTGGTTGAGAGATGTTCAAAATAAGTATCATTCCACTCAGCACTGGCTGTAACCACTCATTTTACGCGACAGCTAATTTTTTACTGTAAGAATGGTTTGTCGGTAAAAAAAGTTACTTTTTTCATATGGTAACAAGTAAATTTACTAATTAAAAATACTTTGAACGAACCATTGTTTCAATCAAAATATTTAAGTCGAATAAAACAAGATAAATTACTTGCTACCACATGAAGTATTTTTTAGAAGCGGCCGGCCTATCAAAGGTCTTCCAAGAGCCTAAGATAATATTTGACCTGCGATCCATTTGGTCTGGTTCTGAAGGAGAGAGTGAGTGCAGGACTACATCAAATTCTGAACCTGTCAATACAAAAACTAAACTTGAGAGCCTATGTGTAACGCAAAACGGGTACTATAATTTGTGGCAGAAGGATTTGGTGATTTTAAATGACATTTCGTACAATCTGGGCTTATTTGTTTTACTTTGTTACTTTGCAGAACTGTTGTTTAAAAGCAGTTAGAATACTGGAGGTTATGTGTTATTTTGAATGACATCACAGATCTAATGCAGTGCAAATTAATTTGGGTGTCTTGGTGTAAAACAGTTGCGAAACAAAAATTTGGACATCTTTTACTAATACTATTGATCTTTTTGAACACAAGGAACTTGGAAGTATAAGGAAGTATAAGTTTAATGTTGGATGATTTACAATTTCACATTTTGGGGTTGGAATGTTGGAATGTTTGTATACTTATTCAGATAGATATTGTGCATACATGCATTATACAACATAACATTAGCACAGCAGAAAATAATGTGTAACTTATGTTTGTGGCACAGATCCATCACAGTCTCAGAGCAGGAGAAGTCTAAGCCCACCTCCTGAAAGTAAGTTACATTGCATTCATATTCTCTGGAATTGAGACTACACTGCAGTGAAAATGTATTTGCCCCCTTCCTGAATTCTATTTTTGCATATTTGTTACATGTAATTATTTCAGATCTTCAAAGAAAATTTTATATTTATATTTAAGGCAAAGACAACACGAATAAACACAAAATAGTGTTTCAGCGATTATTTCATTTATTCAAGGAAAAACACATTACTCAACACCAGCCGGCCCTGTGTGAACAAATAATTGCCCCATTAATTATTCAGTTAACCAAATCTTGTTGATAATTAGCATCAAATAAACTAGACCCACCCAGGCTTGATTACTACCAGCACTGCTGAATCTAAACATCACTGAAATAAAACCTTTCCAGCAATGTGAAGCTGACTAACAGTGTTTAACAAGCTGTACAGTATACCATGATTAAAAGAAACTGGACAAAATGGTATTCATGGGGGAGCAGCAAGGTGGAAACCACTGCTAATCAAGAGGAACATGAAGTCTCATCTCACTTTTGCCAAAAAAGGCCCCGAGAACTGTTGAGTCGAAAGTGGAAGACAGTGATCCCATTTCATCTGGCATAAGGGTAACACACCATTTCACAATTAGAACATCATACAACCGAGAAACATGGCTGTGGTATGGGAATGCTTTGCTGCCTCAGGGCCTGAAAGACTTGCCATAACTGATGCAACTGTGAATTCTGCGCTCTACCAGAAAATCCTGCAGGTCCAGTCATCAGTTTGTGATTTGAAGCTTAAACACAGTTGGCTTATGCAGCAAGACAATTAGCTGAAGCACAAGAGCATGTTCACCTCTGAATGATTCAATAAAAACAAATGAAGGTTATGGAGTGGCCTAGTCAAAGTCCTGAATTGAACCCTTTTGAATAGGCAGTTCATGCTCAAAGGCCCTCTAATGTGGCTGAATTAAAGCAATTCTTCAAATGAAGAGCATGTTCTATGTTTCCTCATGTTCTCCTTGTCTAATATTACATTTGGTATCAGAATCCAAAACCATTTAGGGTGAAATACTTTTTCATGGCACTGTATATATTAATAAAATTCTTGCCTCACCCAACTCTGGTTAAATTTCTAAATTTCTGGTTAATCTCATTCTATTCATTATACGGATTTGTGTTCAGACATTACCAATGCTGAATTATATCAAGCCCTGAAGGACCTTTATTTTTATTAAGGATCTTGCATCTGTGTGCCCCACCAGCCCAACACCTGAAAGAGTCATGGGAAAAGGGCCTTTAGTTGAAATCTTTGAAGGCACATGGGCTGAAGCTCTCCTGGGTTTTCAGTCAAGTTCCACAAAATTACATCGTTATTTAGTGCAAAGTGATATACAGACTACATTGTCCTCAAAGAAAGCTACACTGTATATATCCACAAACTTACAGATCCAGGATCTTAATAAATAATCTCAAAGCATTACAGCAAAGAAACTAGCTAACTGAATGAAGTCAGCAGAACACTACAAATGGAGGAACTCAGAGATGAAATTGCTGGAAAACAATAGTTTCTTTACCTTACATATTTGTACAACAGCCTGGGTTCCGCAAACTGAGGCAGGTAGGAGTCACACTCATTAAACATGGAAAGAAGTTGGTATGACACAGTCAGAGTTATTCCTGGCCTAAGTAGTGTGGTGAGTTGTGGTCCAGGGTTTATTTTTTTGTCTTAATTTAAGCTCTGACAGGTCAGGATAAGATTTTTCACAAATTCGTATTATAGGAGAAAATCTTACCTTAATTTAAGAATCTCATCTCATCTCACAGCAGCTTATCTCAGGTTAGGAAATCTTAACCAACTTACTCGATTGAAGTCGACAATCAACTGTCGTGTCTGTTGCCTAGCAACCGACACTACTCGCACAGCTGAAACGTAAACACGTAATCAAGTTAGTTAGCCAGACAGCTAACATTAGCTACCATTGCTGAGGTAAAAAAGGTCTAAATAAAACTAAAGCGCGATAAACTGAGTTAATAATATTGTTTCAGCGCTTCGTGCTGTTTTTCAGTCGCTGCTCCACAGTCTCAGTTTCATTTCCCAGTCGCTTTTAGCCGAGCGTGCTAACGATACCCCTCCTAATAAAAAGACACACGTTCAGCACTGTCTCCTCATTATTCACCACCAGCACTGTAATATTGTAACTAACGAGCTTTAATCAACATTAACACACGAAAGTAATAAGAGGAGACAGTGGAGATCAAGTCTGCAGTGTCCGGGGCTTTAAAACGCTGTTTAAAAAAAACCTCACAAGTCAAAGCACCGTTTTCAGTGTAGATTAATGTAGCGTCATTATGTTAATCATAGTGAACTGTGCTGCCAATCACTGCATACAACAATAGAAACAGATGATCAAAACATAAGACGCTCTGGTGTTTATCTTAAAGTTAAGAAAATATTTAGGATATTTTGGCAACTTAGGATGTTTCTGTAATACAGTTTTCTTATCTGGAAATAAGATTATCTCTGTATCTATGTACCTACCTACCTATCTGACTGCCAGAACTAAGAGGGTTGAAATGGGTATAAATGGATGAGTACATGTTTGTCTTGTTAAGTGGATTAACATACTTTAAATATCATATCAGTACCTTATCATAGAAAATAAATTTCCCCTTTTTGAAGTTTGAAGCAATATGTAAACATTGTTAAAGTTTCAAAACTTTCCAGAGATCAGAGATCATTTACATATATCGGTCTTAAAGATATCGTAACAAAAACAGCCTGTTCAATTTAAGGGGTAAAGTTTAAAGTTGGAAATTGGTCATGTAAAAATGACGTAAATTTTTTAAATATATTAAATAAGACAAATATCATAAGTGGACATCGGGGAAGAAAATATACATGCAAAAAAAATGTTGAATACGGGCCCTTTGGGGAAAAAATGTTCTATGAACATAAATTGCATGTTTGAAAAAATAACCTTAGACAAGTTTTTTCATGAAGTGAATGAATCATGAATTGGTTGCATACAAACATTGATACTGATAGAAAAAGAAATTAGAGAAAACTAATAATGAGACTGAACCATGGCATGTTATAATAAGCAAGAAGAGTAATATATTTTTAATTTATATATTTTTCAATTTCATAATGCAGTAAGGATTATGCTGCTGGGGAAGACCAGCCAGGAAAACAGAAGCGTGGAAAACTTCATCCTGAGAAGAGTCATGTTTGATGCTGAAGCTCCTCCTTGTTCACTAGAGCAGCACAGTGAGGGAGCCAGAGAAAAAATGGAAGAAAGAGACATCATACTCATCAACACAACTCACCTGTTTGATACTGGACTCTCTGATGAGGAGCTGAGTGAGAGAGTGAAACAGTGCATGTCTCTTTGTGATCCTGGACCTCACATTATAATGCTGGTCATACAGCCAGAAGACTTCACTGAGGCAGACAGAAACCAACTGAATAACATCTTCAGATATTTATCTGATGATGCCCTTAAATACACCATGGTACTGACAACAAAGTTAGGCAGCAGTGTAAATCCAGATGAACAGAGCGTCTCTGATAAGATTATAGAATGTATTAAGTGGCATTTTGACTTAAGAAGTGAAAGCAGTCCTTCTGCTCTTGTGGAGATGATGGAGAAGATGATTGAAGAGAATGGAGAGAATCATGTTAAGTGGGAGGATTTTGTGATGGCTCCAATAGAACAACAGCAGCAGCAACAAACAGCAACGCAGAAACCTGAACAAATGGTGGGCAAAAATATTCTACAAAAAGAGAGCAGACAGAGGGAAACATGTAAGCGCAATTTTATGAAATGATTTTAAATTCACCAAATTATCCAAAACAATTACAATAAACAAGATATTAGAATTTTACCAGTGTTATAGTGTGTGATAATCAGACTGCAACACTCATGATAACAGTGGTTTTGGTCACTGACATTAATATTCCAAAAACAGCAGAAAGATCTTGGAATCCATTCTCTCGTTTTGGAAGACAACATGACAGTAAGGGTGAGTTCTAGTCAATTATATAAGTTAAATGTTTCTCAACTCATTTATAAGATTATGAATTAATCAAGTTAAATGTTTTTATTACAAGTATTGAATTATTTATATCCTCATTTTTTTTTTACATCTTATTTACATCTTAACGTGATTCATGTTTTGCTGTGACTTATTTTCATGTACCTCTTTAGTGTAAATTTCTAAACCTTTTGTTTCTCTTCAGTGCCTCAGAGGTTGAACTTGGTGTTGTGTGGCAGGGATGGAGCACTGAAGGCCTCAGTATCAGATCTCATTCTGGGCCCAAATAAGCGCAGACCAGAGCCCAGCTCAGAGTGCGTGAGGAGAGATGGAGCGGTGTCTAGACGCTCGATCACCCTGGTGGAGATGCCGGCTCTCTACAACACACCTCACTCAGAGGAGGAAGTGATGCGAGAGGCTCTCCGCTGTTTCTCTCTGTGTGATCCAGGAGTCCATGCGTTCCTCCTCATCATTCCAGTTGGTCCCCTCACTGATGAAGACAAAGGAGAAATGGAGAAGATCCAGAACATTTTCAGCTCCAGTGTCAACAATCATTTAATAGTTCTCTTTACAGAGCAGCAGCCTGACAGTACAGCTGAAAAAGATTTTATAGAACACAACACCGACATAAAGAACTTTCTTGCCATGTGTAAACGTAAACATATATTAGTAGAAACAAAAACAGGAAAAAACAAGCAACAACAAACAACTGGAAAACTGTTGGATGAAATTGAGAAAAAGACAGAAATACAGCCATATTCTCTTTACATGTACGTAAAAGCTCAAGAGAAGAGAGTTAGGTGTGAACTACAGGAAAAACTGAGCGAAAAAGAGAAAGAAATCCAGGAGTTAAAGAGGAAGCTCCAGCCAGAAGGTAAGCACTTTGAGTTTTTCAGATCAACCCTTAAAGTAAGAGAACAATAGATTTAATACATTTTAATAAATCATATGACTTTTAAAGCCCTGTTTTTGTACCAAGTCTTAGAAAGTACTGTGCAAAAAATCAGAGACCACATTTACATGCATTTAAATTCCAGTCAAAAAGGTCCATTAAGTACAAGTTGGTGACAATGAGAATAAACAAACTACACTGTACATTAAAAACTAAACTTTTGTGTATCAAGCTAAATGTTAGTCGCCAGTAGCAGACACATGCCTGCTCTGCTGACAGCAGTAAGGCTTTTGGATCAATAGTGTCCCAACTTTATGTAATTCAAAAAATGTTATTTGAAGCTGTCATTTCCCAGCTGCTGAGCCAGCACTTTGTTTTCATGTGTATCTTTGGTGTAGTACTATTTTATCAAATGCCTACTACCACACACCACAAAACAGAAAGCAGACTCTCTGGAGACAAGCAGAAGTCTGGTTTGAAGGACAGTAAAGATATGCATGCCTTTAACCTTAAGTTCTACAGGTATCTGATTTAGCCACACTTGGATGGGAGCTTTGAGCACAACAGCACACCATGTCAAAAGGCATGTATTATAACCAAATGGTTTCAGAATCAAGATAAAGTGTTTATTGCTTCAGTGGACTTTACAGTCCCCAAATCCTATTGAGCATGCATCCGCACAATGAAGTCTGCAGCATCTGCACAATGCAGTCATTTCTACATGTCGCCACATACCTGCACAACACATCCAGCATTGTGTAGAATCCATGCCCAGGCGTTCTGAAGGCCAAAGGAAGCACATCTTGGTACTAAATTTGCGCACCAGATGAACTAGCAACTCAGTAAATGTGTGAATCACAAATCAAATTGGATTTTGGTTTCAGTTTGATGACTTCACTGAGATAAAATATTAACTGGGTATAAATGCAACTATTAACTAGTTACTAGATATAGTTTAACTAGCTACTAGTCAGTTAATGTTAACACATTTCCCATTTTTGAAATAAAAAATAAAGCCTGTCTTGCTGTGTGTCAGAGTTTTAGCACTCAGCATGAATCCAGGATGAAAGAAAATTAATTAAAAACATTAAAAACATGGCCACCGTTTGGTAATCGTATATGTTTACTCACTAATAAGCAATAAAATGAACCATCATCAAAATTTGAACATTTTCAGCTCACAGACACTCTAGATTAGCAATTTCTCATAAGATATCAGAGGTGACACTTCAAGATCTGTACAAGCAAAAAATTACCAAATTTTGCAGGCACTAGGTAAATTTTTGATAAAAAATTAGCCAAATTCATAATCAAAATTCTGTTAGCATTTACTAGCCCAATAAAACCATATCTGGGTAGCCCAGCATCTCCTGAAAATAAGACATGGCATATGTGACTATCATTCAAATACTTTATAATTGTTATTGACCAAAATAGCAAAAGATTACACAGAATTGCCCCAGAGTTCTAAGAATTAGACACTAGACAACTTGTGTATAGACTACCAGAGGGTGAATCAAATTTCCAAGATGCTTTTCTTATTCCTTAGTTAAAGGATTGCATAGATCATATTGGTAGAGCTCAGTGTCAGTGTCATTCCACTGTCTGTGACTCCTGATTCGTTATATGTTCTCAAGGATCTTCCTTTTGGCATAAAGAATGCATCAGCAACCCCTCAAAGGCTGATGAATCAGATGATGGTTATTTGGTGGTTATTTGCATTGATGATGTGGTCATCCACACTGACCTTAAGCAAGAACAGATACATCATTTACAGCAGTTGCTCAAAAGTTACAGCAAACCGGATTTGCAGTCAGTTTGAAGTGTAAAGTCGGTAGTGGTCATTCATTTGGGTCCCCAGGTTGGGCGAGGGAAGGTAACACTGAAATTTGCTAAGATTTAAGCCATTATAGACAAGACCAGTACCAAAATCTTACAGACAGCTGATATGGGTGTTGGGCATGTGTGGATTCTACAGGCAGTTTGTTCCACATTTAGCTGCTGTGGCAGCACCTTTGACAAACCTTCCGAAGAAAGGGGTTAAGTTCACCTGGACTAATGCAAAGGTTTTGTTACTTTGGTAATGTTACGAAAATTTTGCTTAGTTATTTGCCACTAAAGATTTTATTTTAGAAGTAATCTGTATTGTGTATAAGCAGAAAAGAAGAGAGTTGTTAGTAGAGTATAGTAGTGTGACAAATTAGATAGATAGAAGGGAGAGAAATGTTAGGATTCTGAGATTGGACTGCAGGCGAATCTCTTTGGACTGTTGGTTGTTCAGTGGTTTAAAACTACATTTAGACACACGTCTCACAAACTACAACACAGAGTCTCGAATACAGTCAGGACCAGGGAAAATCAATTACACTGGAGACATATGTGTATGCGAGACTGAGAGGTATCAGCAAATATCAAACAAAACTGTAAAAATCTTAATTTTATAAGACAAAATTGTGATTATTGAGTTGATCTTACCAAAATAATGTGTAACTTGTACTAATGTCATTTTCAGGTGAAGATAAAGATGAACCACAGGTTTCCAGCTCCTTAAGGGTGGTACTGATTGGAAAAACAGGAAGTGGAAAGAGTGCGACAGGAAACACCATCCTTGGAAGAGATGAATTTAAAAGTGAAATGAGTATGGGTTCTGTGACAAAGGTTTGCCAGAAAGGAGTTGGTGATGTTGAGGGAAGGTCAGTCGCTGTTGTTGACACTCCAGGCCTCTTTGACACCAAACTATCAAATGAAGACGTACAGCAAGAAATTGTGAAGTGCTTCTCACTGTTAGCACCCGGACCCCACGCTTTCCTCATTGTGCTGAGTTTGGGAAGATTCACCAAAGAAGAATTAGAGACTTTAGAGCTGATAAAAATGACATTTGGTCCAAAGGCTGCTATGTTTAGCATAGTGCTGTTCACCAGAGGAGATAAGCTGGGAAATAAGTCAATAGAACAAGTCATTGAGGAAAGTAACATTGAACAAATCAACAAGCTGCTCAGAGACTGTGGAAACAGATATATAGTATTTAACAACAAAGAAAAAGAAAACCGCACCCAAGTTTCTGAACTTTTAGGACAGATAGAAATGATTATAAACTCAAACACATCAAGTCAGCACTTCACAAACAGCATGTTTGAAGAGGCGGAAATGTCCATCAAAAAGAGAATTGAAGAAATTCTGAGAGAGAAAGAGCGAGAGATCGAGGCTGAAAAGGAGAAACTGAAAAACAAATACAGTGAAGAAATGGAAGAGATGAAGAAAAGACGAGAGAAAGAAAAACAAAAGGCTGATGAAGAAAAGCGCCAAATGGAGAGGAAGTTCAGAGAAAAGATGGAAACCCTCAAACAAGAGTTTGAAGAAAAAAATGAACAAGAGAAGAAGAAACAGGAGATGGAGAACAAGATGAGGTTAGAAGAAGAAAAGATACAAACAAGGAAATGGCAAAACAGAATTAATGAGTTAGAAAAAGAGAACCAAAAGCAGAGAGCGGAATTTGAAAAACAGTTAAGAGACAGAGAGGAGGAGGATAAAAAGAGAGAAGAGAGATACAAACAAGACAAAGAAATTCTCATGAATCAACAGAAGCATGCCATGGAGGAGCTGAGAAAGAGACAGGAGGAAGAGCGTAAAAGGAGAGATCTGGAAGAGGACAAAAGGAGACAAGAGGAAGAGAACGAGAGGCACAATTGGGAGAGGAAAATAAAAGAGGCTGAACATGAGAAAAAAGAGATACAAGAGGACCTAAAGCGTAGACAGAGGGAATGGGAAGGAGAAAAGAGAAGAGAGATGAAAAGACGAGAGGAAGAGGACCGGCTAAGAAAACAGAGACATGCAGAAGAGCTAAGAGCAAAAGAAGAAGAACAAGACAGACTGAGAGAGGAATTTGAAAAGAAGACGGAAGGAGAACGACGTCAGAGAGAGGAGGAGAAACAACGTTGGAGGGAAGCAGAGAGAAAAGAGAGTGAGAGAAAAGAGAGAGAGTACGAGGAAAAGAAACATGCAATGGAAGCACAAATGAAAGAGCAGTATGAGCAGCTGGAGAAAATGAGAACGGAAGAGTGGGAGAGAAGAAGTCGTGAGGACGATGAAAGAAGAAAAGAAGAGACGCGAAGAGTGCAGAAACTTAAAAAGGAGATAGAGAGAGAATGTCGAGAGGAGATTAAGAGGAGAGAGAGAGAAAACACAGCAAGAAGAGAGAGAGAGGAGAAGGAATGTGAGGAAATGAAAAAGAACTATGATCAGAAAATGGAAGAGATGAAAAATAAATATGAAGATGAAGCCAGAAAGCAGGCTGAGCAGTTAAACGAGTTCAATGATGAAAAAGAAAAACACTTCCACGAGCTGATTAAAGAGTATCAGAAACAGTATGAAGTTCTGAAGAATCTGTTTAAAAGCACCAAGGCTGAAAATACTGAGGAAATTAAGAAACTACGAGAAGAACTTAAAAGGTCATGGTGGTCAAGGTGTGTCACTCAGTGAGACTTGCTGTAAAACATGATTATGATAAATGATGATACTTCTTAAAAGGCAGTAAACTGTTTGTAAAATTCTTTCCACTATTTTTATATTTCATCTGTACTTTGGCTGTGTCTGAGTCTGAGTAAGATGATTTAATGTCACTAATGTTGTCAATGTTTTAATGGTGCTAAGCTTGCTGTTTAGTTTAAATAGCATTTTAGCTCATTTAGGGTTATCAGCACTATGGGTATGTGTGTATCTCCGCATTGTATGATCACAGTCCTTTAGTAAAGAAGCAATGGATTTATTGTAAATGTTGCCCGTGTTTTACTCAAACACACTTTTATAATACTCAACTCCACAATCAGTGCCTTCTGAACTATTACTTCAGGTGTGTCAAACGCAGGGCCTTCCAGGCCACAGCCCTGCAGTGATACTCTGAATTCACTTCATGATGGCAGGAGCTTAATTTGGTTTATCATCTTCTTTGTATCTAGGTCTCTCATCCAAACTGTTGAGTCATTTTAACTATGTAAAAATATACACAGATCAGGCATAACATTATGACCATTTCTACGCTCATTGTTTATTTTATCAGCTCCGCTTACTATATAGGTGCACTTTGTAGTTCTACAATTACAGACTGTAGTCCATCTGTTTCTCTGCATACTTTGTTAGCCCCCCATTTACCCTGTTCTTCAGTGGTCAGAACCCCCATGGACCCTCACAGAGCAGGTACTATTTGGGTGGTGGATCATTCTCTGCAGTAACACTGATGTGGTGGTGGTGTGTTAGTGTGTGTTGTGCTGGTACGAGTGGATCAGACACACCAGTGCTGCTGGAGTTTACAAAGTTGTGGCTATAATAAGGTGTGGGTATTATCTTGTACCCACACCTTACTATATTATGACCACGATATCTTTTTACTTATTTGGGATGTCATCAGCAGGGCTCTGTATGTACCTGTAATCTGATTACTGTCTGTTTTCTGTAACTGTACCGGATTACAGTCACAGTTTTTGTATCCTAATAACGCCGTTACATGTATTCTGTTACTACCCAACCCTGGTCAGGACATCCAAAGCTCGTGAAAATTCCTAGTATTAACTGGCGAAGAGCAGGAAAGAGCATTCTAGAAGGTTACCATGATTCTAATGGGGCATTTCCCCTTTTATTGCCCTTAGCAACCAGCCTGACCACTGTATGTTTGCAAGGCAGCGGTGACTTTCTTTTGGAGAACACGCTGAGGTTTCATGCTTAGTGTTTTAAGACAGCTTGATGAGAAATAAGGGACAGTTTGTTTCAATGGACTGAGCGGACTTCCACTACTTTCCTTTCTTATCTAAAACGACTAAATGCGCTTTTTACTTATCAATGGCCATTTGCTTCCCAATAGTTGATATGAACCTTTATTTCACACACACACACACACACACACACACACACACACACACACACATTCATATATATACATAAATACATACATACATACATACACACACACACACACACACACACACACACTATATTTCCAAAAGTATTCAGTCACCAAACATTTGTGAAAGAATGGGTCGCTCTCAGGAGCTCAGTGCAACAAGTCCAGTTGTGAAATTTCCTCGCTACTAAATATTCCACAGTCAACCGTCAGTGGTATTATAACAAATAGGAAGCGACTGAGAATGTCAGCAACGTCAGAGTGGGGTCAGTGGATGCTGAGGCGCATAGTGCACAGAGGTTGGCAACTTTCTGCAGTCAATCGCTACAGACCTCCAAACTTCATGTGGCCTTCAGATTAACTCAAGAACAGCGTAGAGAGCTTCATGGAATGGGTTTCCATGGCCGAGCAGCTGCATCCAAGCCTTACATCGAATGCAGTGGTGTAAAGCGCCACCACTGGACTCTAGAGCAGTGGAGACGTGTTCTCTGGAGTGACCAATCACGCTTCTCCGTCTGGCAATCCGATGGACGAGTCTGGGTCTGTCTGACTGCTTTGGGCCAAGTGTAAAGTTTGGTGGAAGGGGATTATGGTGTGGGGTTGTTTTTCAGGAGTTGGGCTCGGCCCCTTAGTTCCAGTGAAAGGAACTCTTAATGCTTCAGCAGACCAAGAGATTTTGGACAATTTCACGCTCCCAACTTGGGGACGGCCCCTTCCTGTTCCAACATGACTGCCCACCAGTGCTCAAAGCAAGGTCCATAAAGCATGGATGAGCGAGTTTGGTGTGGAAGAACTCGACTGGCCTGCACAGAGTCCTGACCTCAACCCGACAGAACACCTTTGGGATGAGGTGTTTTTGGGAGCGGAGACTGCGAGCCAGGCTTTCTCGTCCAACATCAATGTCGGACATCACAAATGCGCTTCTGGAAGAATGGTCAAAAATTCCCATAAACACACTCCTAAACCTTGTGGAAAGCCTTCCCAGAAGAGCTGAAGCTGTTATAGCTGCAAAGGGTGGGCCGACATTATATTAAACCCCATGGATTATGAATAGGATGTCACTGAAGTTCATATGCATGTGAAGGCAGATGAGCAAATACAATACAATATAGTGTATGTGTTGCAGTCTTAAGTTTTTAGGTTTCTCTCCAGCAGGGGGAGTTTTTAGCACACAAGTCACTTTTTGTACCTCATTTAAAGGGAAGAAACAGCCACAAATGTACGTGTTAACTACTTCACGCTCATTGTAGCTGCTTTCAAAAAATGTTGTTACTTTTTTATATACGATTTTCATTAAGTCAAGTTGAAGAGTATATATGTCTCTAGCCTACATTATGGTATGAAAAAATGAATCACAGTTTGGCACCCTGCATTGACACAGAGTTGTGAGGTGCCTAGAGATTCCTACCTCTAATAACCTGAGCACTGCCTGGGAATAAAAGATTTTTTTTCAGCACCGCCTTATTTTTCTCTCTCAGCTTCTCATTTGTAATTCAATCGCTTTGCTTGCAGTTTTATTAGTGGCAGAACCGCCTTATTTTTCTCTCTCAGCTTCTCATTTGTAATTCAATCGCTTTGCTTGCAGTTTTATTAGTGGCAGAAGTTGATGCAGAGGGTTGAACTGCCATCAACACATTAAGGCTTTGTTCACACAGCAGGTAAAAGTGGCCCAAACCTGATCTTTTTCCTCATATGTGACACAGATGTGTTAACTGTGTCAGTGTGAACAGATAAACACACTGAATCCGACATTTTCAATCCCGATTTGAGGCGCTTTCATATGTGGTACTAAAATCTGATACGTGTCCATATGGCAATGTGTCTCAGTCTGAACAGCCAGATCGAATTTCATGCGACTTTATGTCAGTCCAGCTCGATATTCGCCATCATTTTGCGCTGCTGAGGCCTCGTAAATATTTAGGCTGATGTTTCTGCACAAAAATTAGACAAGATGTATCGCAATCGCTCCGTGTTCAAAAAGGTTTTGAAAGAAATGGCCGAACACGGCTGTAGGAGAACGAGGCTGCAGGATCAGAGAACAGTTAAAAATCAATCATCACTTTGTAGACGTTAGCTGACATTACTGTACTCTGACAGCTGTGAAAGAATTTGTCACAAAGCTTTTATTTCCTTAATTCAGCTTGGACTCCTACATTGTTGAGTGTTTGGTGATCTCCAACAAATCCTTGAATTCAATCTTGGCAACTATGACAAAGTGACACACCTTGCTGTGGTGAGTGATATGAACGCCTGTATTTCTGAGATTAGTATCTGTCCATAAGGCAATAGTGACACTTGTTTTATTTAGCTTTTATGCACTTGATGGAAAGAGTGATGAAGTTTGGTCAAACACCTTTGTGATGAGCCGGAGTGACGGAGCTCAACTGAACATTGCTGGGTTGAGTTGCAGTGACAAAGCTCCTCTCAATGCCCCTGGAATGCCTTGGAAACTGCTTTGACAAAGCTCCACTGAACTGAAGGCAATTGCCTTTGGGATAATTTGCAATGACAAAGCTCCACTGAACACCTCTGGGAAGATGAAGCTCAACTGAACATGTTTTGGATGAGATGAAATCATAAAGTTTCACTGAACACTTTCAACTGAACAGAATCAAATCCCAGAACAAATGTTTCAACATCTGGCGTAAAGCCTTCCCAAAAAGAGTAGAGGCTGTTTCTGCAGCAAAGGGACAAAAAACTCCTTATGATGTCAAAGGAAACAAGCAAGCATTCTGCAGTTTCTTTTAGGCTTTCCTTTCACACTCACAAATACAGTCATAAAACTGAAGGGAGAGAGCAAGACACACAGACAGAGCTCCTCACCAGAGCAGAGGGAGATGGCACAGGCCACCAGTGAGTAGCTGGTGTTAAGAAGGATGACCCGATCCTTCTTCAGTTGTAGAGCTGGCTGGAAGGTGGGGAACGGATAGACCACCTGATAACGCGCGTTCAGTACATAACCGTGCTCCAAACACTCTCCTCCTGGAGAGAGAGAGAGAGCGAGAGAGAGAGAGATCAATACCACACCAAATCATCAAACTGTGCATATCTGCATGTAGAGTAGCTGGGAATGAGCAATATGACATTTTATCGTTATCACGAAAAATAAGCATATCTTGGCTATCATTACTACTTGAACACAGACAAAGAAAGCATAATTAGTCGTGTTTATTTTATTGCAGAAATCCGAAATATTTTATTGTGAAATATTGAACAAAATAACTGTAGTTGTAGCTTTATTATAGTATTTTATATGTGGCACTACAGATTTTTCTTTGTCAGATGAAATCTCAGAAAATCTAAATGTGTTGTGAAAATGTCCTGAAGTATTGTGAATATCATGGTATTTTTGCCATATCATCCACCCCTAGGAGTACCATATGAGTACCTGTGCGTATAGTAGATGCAGTAGGTACAGGGCAGCACTGCTGGCAGGGCTTGGCAGGGGGCATGGAGGCGATGGTGATGTAAATGTCTCTGTTATTCTCATCACTCATCATCATGTTCATCATGCTGAACTGCTGCTGCGTGTACTGATTCACACATTCAAGGGAACAAAATAATAATTAAATAAATTAGCAAAAGAACCAATATATTTGCAATATTCCCAAATATTCTAAAAAAGAACTAATAGAAGAGCTGTATTTATCTATCTTTACAGAATCAGATGGGTGGAGGTCCAGCTCAGTGGTCTGCACATACGTAATAATTCACACAATGTTTTTAATGCTCTTACATTACTGCGGTTTATGAGCCTAAAGTGTGTCGACATTCTTTATATGACATCAAGAAAAAGTTACAGTGCTTGAAACCACTGATTTAGCTAGTGCATACAGCAGGGAATCTAAGAGGTTTTCACTTAAAGCTGAAGATGACGATCTTAGAGTGGTCATTGTGCCACTCGCACACAGTCAGATACAGTTCACTGTAGATATCTTCATTATCATCATCATCACTTTTATTTATATAGCGCCTTTTCCAAGCTCAAGGATGCTTTAC